GAATGAGACGAGAATGACACATAAATGAGAAATGAATGAGACGAGAATGAGACGAGAATGACACATAAATGAGAAATGAATGAGACGAGAATGAGACGAGAATGACACATAAATGAGAAATGAATGAGACGAGAATGAGACGAGAATGACACATAAATGAGAAATGAATGAGACGAGAATGAGACGAGAATGACACATAAATGAGAAATGAATGAGACATGAATGAGACGAGAATAATACGAGAATGAGACATGAATGAACGAGAATGAGACATGAATGAACGAGAATGAGACGGGAATGAGACGAGAATGAGACGAGAATGTCACATAAATGAGACGAGAATGAGACGAGAATGACACATAAATGAGAAATGAATGAGACGAGAATGAGACGAGAATGTCACATGAATGAGACGAGAATGAGATGAGAATTAGATGAGAATGAGATCTGCTCCTCACGCTCATCTCAAAACGCACCTGCAGTGGACTGTGATTGGTCCGTCCTGACCGAACTGCTCCTTGGTTTTATGCACCTGTCCAATGAAATCAATGAAACCCTCCCCTGACTTTGGAACTCCTTGTTCTGGCCAATCGGTGAACTGGAACTGTCTGACGGTTCTGGACTGTCCGTCCTGTGGAGAGAAAGACAATGAGTCTGAACCTCTCCAGACGTGTGAGCCTATAGAAACAGATAGGATCTGCCGGGACAACTGTGTCTCTGGTGTGCATTCCTGAAAAGATCTGAACGTAAGACTGACAGCTTTACCAGATCATACCGCGGTAAATGACTCACCCTGGCGTCGGTGACTTTGAACTCTCTCAGGATGTACTGTGGCATGTTGTATTCTGCCATGGGATCCACTACAAAGTACTGATAGCGTGCCGAGCGCTCGGCTGGCCAGTACTGGTGACACTTCTCCTGTGAGCACACAAACACACGGATGTTACCACTGCTTCAGTCAGATCCAGATGGAGCATGTTTTCCTCCAGCCGTCACTCACCCGTCCCATCTCACGCAGTTTGGTCAGCATCACCACGATGGTGGAGTTGTGTTCCCACAGCGTGCGCCAGAAGTCCTCAGTGGTCTCCGCTAGCGGCCCCTGCGTCGCAATATACGCCCTCTGCTGCCTGGACACACATC